ATGAAAAATATTTTAATTAGACAATTAATAAAATTAAAGTCAATTTTTAATTTCAACACATGGGATCTCTTGTAAAAAATATAATAAACACACTCTTAAATTAAACAAATCCATATAAAAAAATAAATACTAATAAAAATTTTATGATTCGTATGCCAAATACCCTACCAATTAATTAGCTGTCTTAAGGTCCACAAATTTTCTAGCCATAAAGAAAAATTTTAATAGTAATGAAATGTGGTCTCCATATAATTGATTTAAGGAACTTTTAATTTTTACATAAACTTAATGAGTGTTTCTCTCTTCTTCTTTTTATTTTTATTTTTTTGGTAGTTTGGAAAATTTATGACTAATTAATAAAGGAAGTTTGTTTCTTAATTTTTATTTGAAAATAATTACTATTCCATTCAAACTTAACTAATCTTAATTTAATTTTTGATTTTTTAACTTTTCATACATAAATTTTAAATAAAAATTTAATATATTATATAAATAATAATTTACATATTTTTTAAAAAAATACTTAATAAAAACTACATATAAGGAAAAAAAATTATTCTTATTTATGTAAATTATTAAATTTTTATTTAAAAAATTAAAAAATCAAATTAGAACTATTAATTGAATGGAGAGAGTAATAAATGGTCAGTCTACTAGTAAAAAGGAAAGATAACAAAAACGCCTAGTGATGATAGCGAAATGATAATAATAAATTAAATTAAGTCATTGAGGCAACAAATTAATTCGATTAATTAAAATTAAAAAAAATTAAAACATCTTAATATTAAAAATATCATGATAATTAATAATAATCACATAATAAATTTAATAAAATTAAAATTTATATTATACTTTACATATTTAATAATTATAATTAAATATTATAATATTTTTAATATTAAAGCATCTTAATTTTCCCCTTCCTCTTAAAATAAACTCACTTTTCCTACCTTCTATTTTCCTCAAATCAACCAGCCTCTTCATGAAAAGAGTGATGCGATAGGGATACACAGGTCACAATTCACAAAGCCAAATTGGAACCTACTGTCCCTATAACTTTTTCACTTTTAAATTTTAGTTCTAGTAATTTTCAATTTTCACCATTATGTCCTATGACATTTACTTTTTAATTTTTAATTTAAAAAATAGCATCATTTATAAAGCTTAAACCCTAAACTTTTAAACTCTATATCATTAAATATTAGATCTAAGATATAAAATATAAACCTTAAATCATAAATCCTAAATTATAATAAAAGCAAACAACCTTAAAAGTTTTAAATACTAAATTCTAAAATTTAAATATTAAACTCTAAACTCTAACCTTAAATGCTAAACCCTCAACTCTAAAAATATAAACTCTAATCCTTAAATACTAAATCCTAAATTCTAAGAATATTAAACTATAAACCTTAAATATTAAACTCTACATTAAATTTTAAATAAAGTTTGATATTAAAAAATTATTTGAAAAATCGAAGGATGAAACTAAATTTAAAATGTTAAGTGTAGGGACTAATTTATAAATTTAATTGTAATGTGAAAATCGTAAACTACCCAACGGACGTCGAATGCCACGTCCGTTCAATCTCCGTCAGCTTAATTAATTTAGTGACCTATCGGTCCCTTAAGCATTATTCTAATTAGCATTTCTCAACCCGTTTTGCAGTTTGTTAGAATGTATTTTTATTTTTAAAGAACAAAATGTTATTAAAACTTATTATTAAAAATAAATAATAAAAAAATTTATTGTTTTACAGTTT